TTAGGCCGCAGCTCCTGAGCCCCGCCCCGCGGCTCGCTCCTGCCGGGATTTGTAGTTAGGTCTGCCGGAGCCGAGCTAGAGTGGTGCCGTTCCTATTCCTCGTGTCCTGGATCTGGAAGAAGGCCTAGCATAGGGTTCCCAACTCCCTCGGGGCTCCCTGTCCGCCGACCCTTCGCCCGCCGATGTATCTGTCGGTGTACGCAGGACCATCCTCCAGATGGGCAGACTGAGGCACGAAGAGGGGCGGAGCCAGCCTAGTGTAAAGGCGGGAGAAAAAGGCCAGCGTGAGGCTTTTGGCCTGGGAGGCCCAGCCTGGGTCTCCTGGGCAACGCTGGGCTAGGGGGAGAGTCCCGAGCCTTTTCAGTTCTTAAGAGTCTGTGATCAATGCTGTGTCAAAATGAACAGACCTGTCCAGGACTGGCTGGCACATTAGAGCCAATTACCTTATAGGATTGACAGATAAAATTTTTATTTGCTAAATTTGGCAACCCGGCAGAGGTAGCCCACGGTGGGAGGAAGTGTCTTGTGATCAAGAAAACCAAGAAATGGGGCGACTGCGCCCACAGGTTTGCTTTGAGGGTCAAATGGGGTGGGGAGGGGGTTGGGGGAGAGATGGGGGTATTTTGTACAATATAAATCCCAGGGCTTGTACGAGGTGTTAATCATTGCTAGGATCTGAACCTGAAGAGCTGAAGAAAGGGCTCTGGGCCTTCAGGAGCCCCACTTTCAAGGAGAAAGTACACTTCTTTGTAGGATGTCCCCATTAGGAGAAGCTGGGTAGTAGAGATATGGGGCCTCTCTATACTGTTGTTTTTTTTTTTTTTTAAGGGTGCAAATGAGTCAAGGATGGCCTTGCCACTCAAAGGTTTTTTGTTTGTTAACAGCTTTATTGAGTGTACAATTCAATGTTTTTAGCATATTCACAGCATTTTGCAACCATGAACACAATCTAATCTTCATCGCCCCCAAAAGAAACTTGTATCCATTAGCAGTCACCCCCCCAAGGTACCCCCCATCCCCTCCAGCCTTAGGCAACCACTAATCTACTTTCTATAGATTTGCCTATTCTACATATTTCATATAAATGAAATCATATAATATGTATTTTGTGACTGGATTATTTCACATAGTGTGATGTTTAAAAATTCATCTAGGTTGTAGCATGTATCAGTACTCTGTACTATTTCTGCAATTTCTTTTGAGTCTGTATTAAAAAAACACACACACAAGGTATCTAGAGAGTGAGCAGAGGTACATGTGAAAGGACCCACAGCTGGCACTAGCATTCAATACTGAGAGCAGGGTGGGCCTTGGGAGAGGAGAAGGAAGAACAGAGCTTGGCAGTGGGGAGGGACCCATCTCAGCCCAGCTCCACCTCAGGAGGCTGTGGGAAGTGAGTGCTGGGGGTGGGGGAGAGGTATGGTGTCCCACCTCCTGGCTCCCAACCCATTCTCTGCCACTTACTAAGGGGATCCCAGAGCAAGTTGTTTTGACTTCGCTTTTCCATCTTTTCATCTGTAAAATGATAAGATGATCTACTTTAGAGGGTAAATGGGAAAAAATTATATAAAGGACAGTGCCTGGCATATAGTGCCAGCACTCAATAGTGTTAGCTCTTATGACCTTACAGTAGTGATGAAGATTCAGTGTGACCCTGGCTTTAAGAAGTAAACTTGTCCTCTTGTGTCCTTCCTGGGGACGAGTCCCTCCTGCCCCAATGACACAGCACCCTTCTCCATCATCACAGTGCTCCACCTGTGCTCCTGACCTGCTCATTCATACTGCACTGGACAGTCCCACTTTTCCAAGAAGTTACCAAGGAATTCCAAAGTATCACTGTCCAGTAATATAGGGAGGAGGTAAGAGAACTAAAATGTTAAATCAAACTACATTCAGAGATGGCAATATGCCGATCACCTTGTAGCTAGGCCAAGAGGACACCTGCAGAACAAAGGAAGATTTCCGCTGGGATTGCTAACAACCCATTCCCCACACTCTGAAGGGGGGGAAAAAAAACAGGAAAAACAGAGTCTTTTAGTGGCTGCCCTACGCAAATAAAATCATTCACTCCCTATGGCTAAAACCATAGGGAACCTATGGATTAAAGGCTGGGAACTGTCAGCAGATCTTTCACAGCTACATATTGTTACTTGTTCTCCCTACATACTCTTCCCCTTCTCCTTCCTCACTGCATGTCTATATTAAAGGAAATGGGTAAACAAAATCTTTATAACTCACTGGAACTAAAGAATAATATATAAACTGAATTCCAGGAACACTCAGGGTCCCTCTCAGTGTTTTTCTCACTCTCAGTGTCTTTCTCTCTGTCCCTCTCGCTGTCTTTCTCTAGGTACTCTTTACTCTGTCTCTCTCACTGTCCTCGTCTCTCTTAGGCTTTCTCACTCTGTGCCTGTGAGAGGAGACCATATCTGTCTGTTACCCCTTTTCTAATAAACTTCCCTTTGACTCTAACTTTGGCATGTGTGTTGAATTCTTTCCACACTCTCTGCCAAAGGACCTTCTTCTTCTCTTGGTCTCCTCCCAACTCGGGGAAATCCTGCATTACCAGAATGCCTCTGAGCACCCAGCAGTGATTCAAAACAAAACAAAACAGAACAACAAACAAACAAAAACCTTTCAAATCTTGAGCTTTATGCAGGAAATATGGCCACCCAGACCCCTGGCCATTCCTCAGAACTGGCTGAAATGATCTAGAAAAATTCATTGCAGATCAGATTTAAAGGTTAGAAGCATGAGTTAACGCCTTCGAAGGAATATTCTGGGAAATTTTTTAGGTATTGCAACAGATCCCTGAAGTATCGCAGGTTGAGGAAATTTAACACCTCTACCTGAGCTGCACCTCTAGACTGGAGTCAGAGGAACCAGAAGGGACTTTCCTTGTCTGGTGTCTGCATTTTACTGGGAAACTGAGATAGGGTAGTTAGAAGTCGTCTAGGGAACTCACTTAGGGAGAATCCTTTGCAATTTCAGGAAATTCTTAGCCCTGGAAATCAATGCATAACATAGCCCAGGTCCATGGACACAGAAGCTGAAAGCTTCTTAGGCGTCCTTAGACCTTGGCTGCAGCCCAAGCAGCCAAGCCCGGAAGTCAATGTCTGATGCCTCTCTCTCCCGGTTTCTTTCAGCCAGATGTTTGTCCTAGAAGTAGGAGTTTATTAATAATAATGGTCACAGTGACGTAGGGAGGAGGCAAGAGAACTAAAATGTTAAATCAAGTTATATTCAGAGACTGCAATATGCCGATCAGCCCTGCAGACAGACTAAGAGGAAAACTGCAGAACAAAGAAAGATTTCTGTTGGGATTGCTAACAACCTATTTTCCCACATTGTGAATGGAAAACAGGAAAACAGAGTCTCTGAGTGGTTGCCATACACAAAATAAAATCATTCGTTCACTATGACTAAACGCATGGGGGACCTATGGATCAAAGGCTGGGAATTGCCAGCAGGCCTTTCACGCCACATATTCTTACCTTTTCACGCTACACATTTATCCTTCCTCACTGTATACCTGTATCATCAGAGGAAAATGGGTGAACAAAGTCTTTAACCTGTAATTCACAGAAATTAAATAATAATATGTAAATTGAATTCCCTGAGTGTTGGGGTCCCTCTCAAGTGTCTTTACTCTGTCTCTCACTGTCCTTGTCTTACTTCTATCTCTGTCCCTCTGAGTCTCTCTTAGGCTCTCTCACTCTGCCTCTGAGAGGAGACCATGTTCTGTGTATGGAGCGTTACCTCTTCACTAATAAATTTTCCTTTTGATTAACTTTAATGGAGTTTGAAGTCTTTCCTGTGCTCAACCAAGAACCCTTTTTTTCTCTCAGTGCAGGGCTTCAGTTTCTCCCCCTCTCTGGAGAATTTGCCCTGTTCTGCATCAACAGCACTTTACATGTGTCCAGGCCTTTTTTCAAAGAGCCTACCATAGATTGTCTCATTAGGTCCCCACGATTCCCCAAGGTAGCAGGGCTGGGATATTGTCTTTGTTGCATGGGCAAGGAACCTGTTTAAGCAACTTTCCCAAGGCGACAGGGGCCAGAGCAGTAGCAGAATGTGGGGATTTTGCTCTCTAATCTGTTAAAACAGCAATAAAAATTTTTTGAGGGGAGATGGTCTTTTACCTGCTGAGTGTTCTGCTCGGTGCTGGGGGGGCGGGTCACAAGGAGACCTGACATGGTCCCTGTGAAGAGGCACACATATCGTAGACAATAAAAAGTGGTGGCCAGGGAACTTTCTGGGAGTGGTGGTGGTAGAAGTGTTTTATATCTTGGTAGGGATGTGAGTTACATGGGTGTTTACATATGTCAAAACATCCAATTGTACACTTATAATTCATGCATTTTACTGTCAATTTTACCAAAAAAAAAAAAAAAAAAAAAGAAATGTAGAAAATGGGAATGCTCTGAAAGGACTATGCCTAGCAAGGTCTTAGTAGCCGTCACGGAAGCAGGGCCGACTAGGTTGCCCGTGGATACAATTCCACCTTTGTTTGTGGGGTGTGGCTGGCAGGTTTTCCCCTGCAGGCTGTAGACCCAGATGGCCCAGTGGCCGTTGATGCCCAGAGCATCCGGGGAGCACTGAGGATCACCGTAGGTTGTATAGAAGGGATATATATAAGCTGGGTTTGCAGGCAAGTAGTTGGCCAGAGGAGGGAAGACAAGGGGAGGAAGAAGGGTGGTCTCTAAGCATTCCTCCGTGGACTGTGGTTGCCCAGCATCACCCACATGGAAAAGGGTAGAACCAGGTTTTGGATTCCTTCCCTTATCCCAGTATCTATGAGTGGGAAAAACTCATGCTGGTTGGAAATTTTGAAGCTGCTTCCCAAGAAAGGAAAACGTCCTCTTACCACCGTGTCAGGGAGCCAGGGCCCTGATGCCTTTTGTCAGCTGACATCTTGTGGGTTTTACCCGCTGCTCTCGGCTCTCCCCATTTCGGAGCCAGGGTGGAAGTGCGGATCATTTGCCGTCCCACTCACTTGGGAACGCTCAGCCTCCCGGTGCAGACACGGGCTGGCCAGTTTTCAGAGGCGCCCCCAGGCAGCTCAGGCCGGCGGGTCCCGCCCTCTGACTCACTCGCTGGGCATCCAGTAGCTCACATCGGGGGCGACGGGCAGCAGAGACGCAGCCTCAGCAACCCTGCTAGACGTTGCCAGGCAAGTAGCGCTTTGGTGTCTGACCGCCCCAGCGCCCGGGCGCCCCTTTGGGAGTCGGAGAGGCTAGGCTGCTCCAGAGCCGCCTCCTTCCCGCGCCCCGCTCCCCGCTCTCCTCTTTGGGGCGCCCCGCGTGTCTAATCACGTCTCCTGGCTTACTATAAGGAGGGGCAGGAGAAGGCGGGTCCGTGCTAACGAAAGCTTTCTTTTACTTCGTTTGGGACA